CAAAGTGAAACTCTACCTCTTTAAAAAAAAAAAAATACCAATTCCTACACTTACACCACCCCCAACTAAATCAGAATGTAAACTCCTATCACAGCAGGGATTTTGTCTGTTTTGCTAAGTTTGAACAGTACCTGATATATGCATGATGCTCAGGAAGTATTTGTTGAAGGAATGACTATACAATTATTAACTGAGATCCAAGGAACATGCCAAGCTCCTGCTCCCAGGAGCTTACATTTTTCTCACAATGTGTAAACCTTTACTATTTCTAAAGCACTACAAATAGTACATATCTCTATAACAACTGGAAGTTACTTGCTGTCCACTATGAGCTGGAGGAAAAGAAAGTGGCCTTAAGCAATGTCTGATGAAGTGGCAAAAAGAAATTGAGGGTCTGGGCAGAGATAGGCTCAGACAAACTCTAACCCCTATGAGACTTTGAGGTAATCATACTGTAAGGGCTCAAACATAATGAGAAAGCAATAATAAACTAGCTATTTGGAATATCTGAACAAAAACCAAAGCCACATACATACCTATTATTATTTTCTAACAATTTCTTCAATGTATCTGTTCTGGCTTGGTGTAAAGCAATTCCTTGTTTTATATCTGAAAAACAGTGGCACATGGAAATGGATGAAATGTGTCATGTCATACATCAAGGAACTACTGTCTTTAGATAAGGAACAAGAAGCCCTGAATTCTTGGAAAGAATCGTAAAAGTAGCATAGAATCACAAAATCTTGGGCTATCTTTTATATCAACTCTCCTTAATCATATCACCAACTAGTGGTCATCTGGCCTATACATGAACTTTTCAGCGATGAAAAACTCAACACTCTCAAGCTGAATCTGGACAATTCAAACTGCCATAGCAGTTCTTTATATCAAGTTCAGCATCTGCCTCAAAGTCACATGGAATAATACACCCAATGGCTCATCTCATCTCCTTTCCATCTGGCAGATACATAAGAACAGGATGTTTTCCCTAAACATGTCTTCACCAGCTTCACTCTCTTGTGTTTATGACTGCCAAGGGTCATAGCTTCCTAATCCTAAGGCCATGATAAGCATTGGCACCACCATGCCTACTATAGACTCTGGGGTTGGGGCAGGGCCAGTGCAAGAGTTTGACAAATGTGCTTATGTGAAAAGAGAGTATTTATAGTAATTTCAACCTTCTTTAGCCCTCATCCTCTATCTCAGTTTCTCAACAATGCACTCCTGACATTATAGGCCAAACAATTCTTTGTTTCAAGGGGGCTGTCCTAAGCACTGCATAATGTTAAACAGCTACCTGTAACACTTCCCCACATGTGACAACTATCTCCAGCCATTGTCAATTGTATATGGGGGGGTTCCCATGTGTGACCCTCACTTGAGAACCACTACTTATCCAATGACCCTGTTCACTCATCACTACTAAAAAGTCTCTCCCGTATTGGTTCAACTGGTTACTTTCCAAAAAGTCTACCAGTGTATCACAATGGTACTTTTAAAAGTCTGTAATCTTTTTAATGGTATTTAATGAAACTAAAACACTTTCTCCAAATGTTAGGAAAGAACCTCCCATGGCGTTAATCCTAAACATTTACACTATCTCCTACCCCAAGCACTGTGAACTTCAGAAAGGATCTGACTCCCATTTTCCAGATCTCTTCAAGAAGTATTTTTCTTTTTTTAAATTTTGCTTTCAATTGGCTTTCAATCTTTTTAGTTTGAAGGTTTTTTTAATTTTCTTTTTCTTTCTTCTTATTTTTTATTGAGACAGTCTCACTTTGTGGCCCTCAGTAGAGTACAGTGGAGTCATAGCTCATAGCAACCTCCAACTCTTGGGTTTTAAGTGGTTCTCTTGCCTCAGCCTCCCAAGTAGCTGGGACTACAGGTGCCTGCCAGAACGCCCGGCTTTTTTTT